GGATGGTGCCTGGCAAAATGTCAGAGGGAGTGGTTTGAGAAGTAACAAAAGCGAGCCATTAAGTGTGGAGATTCCTTATTGGTTGACTGATGTATCTAGTTTATGCTAATTAAGATAAGCTGTGCAAAATGTATAAATAGCTCTGTTGTCYTACAATAAACGGCTCCCATTCCTGCTGTATCAACGTGCACAAGTTATTCGTCACCCCCCCGGTTATTTTGCTGCAGCCGGACCCCGGCAAGTAAAAACTGTATTGGATAGACTAAAGTGCAAAAGAGATAACAAGGTGAGAATTTATAGAAATAGCACCAAATTATTCAAACTGAGAAAATAGAAAGTAAGCAATTAAAAATGACTCATAAACTCATAAACCTGTGGTACAACACTAAAATTTGCAAAATTCATGTTGTTGCAGTCTTAGGAGAGAAAAAAAAAGAATGTATACAGAAAAAAGTATCTGACAGCTAAAGACTTCCATAATTTGATAAAAGACATGAACTTGCAGATTCAAAAAGTGTCACAAAGTGTCATAAATCATGATAAATGTACTGAAAAYTACTGAAACAATTTTTGGAAGCAAATTTATAGAAAGCAGTAGTGACAAAGAAAAATGACACATTAAAATGAGAGAAATGAAACACATAAAATGATAATAAYTATTCCAGCAACAGTAGTTTTGATAAAATTCAAAAGCTTTTGATAAAATTCCATAGGAATGAAGGCAAAGTTAAGACATTCTCAGATTAAGCTAAAAAACTCATAGCTTGCAAACCTGTTCTAAATTAAATATAAAAGGAAACAAATCAGGCATAAGGATAGTAACATCAAAGGAAAAATGAAACTTCAGGAATGAAATAAGAGCATTAGAACTAATAAATGTGAGTAAATACAATATTTTTAAACCTTAAACTCTTTAAAATGTATATGAAAATCCAAAAATCACAACATTGTCTAGAGATATTCAAAATATGCTGGTTTAATATAGGTGACCATTACATCTTAAGAAAAGAAGGGTAAAGGGACCTTGTTTTAGACTATTTTCTGTTGCTATAACAGAATGCCTGAAACTGGGTAATTTATAAAGCAAGAGGTTTATTTAGCTCACATTTCTGGAAACTAGAAAGTCCAACTGTATGGTGCTAGCAACTACTTGATTTCTAGTGAGGGCCCCATGGTAGATGGGCAAACAAGCAGGTACAGAACAGAGGAATAACATCAGGAAATAAAAACTTGCCCTCATAGTAACTAATAAAGTCCACAAGAATGAGAACATACTTCCAGGAAAAAGCATCAATCCCCCTTAAAGACCTWATCTCCTCTTAAAAGCCCCACCAACTCTCAACATTGTTACACTGAARACCAAAACCCCAACAAGAGTTTAAGAGGGACAAATCATATTTAAACCACAGCAGTCCAATAGGGTGGTAGTTTCTCCACACTAATATTAATTCTTAGTAGACTGTAACCTATATATTGTTATCCATAGAATTCACAAACATGTACATGTGATAATAACTCAAGATATACATTAAAATGAAATACTAATATGAAAATAGGTATTTAAACATCAAATAATTAAAAAGAGTGGGAAAATTGCAAAAAGCAAAAAGAAATAAAAATGGGAAACAAATAATAAAATTACTCAAACATAGCCAAAGAACACAGTATATTCCTTGACCATTAACAGAATACATTTAAACAYTGGGAGAAATGTAGTAGGGACAGTAGTATTTTCTGACAATTAATTCTAGTGAATTAAACTACCAATCAACAGTGGAAAGTAAAAGAAAAATCCTTAAACATATGAAAACAAAAAACACAATTATAACAACATATTTCAAAATTTTCCATAGATTAAAGTCTTCAGAGAATCAGAAAATACATTGAACAAAAATGAAAACACATAAAACTTTGTAATGTTCTAAGCAGGGTTTAAATTTTACATTTTCAAAATTATATATTTTGTCTTCATTACCTGAAACTCTGTCTCCCAAATGGCCTAGTCTGTTGGTGATACTTTCCACTGAATTTTTAATTTGGTTTATTGATTTCTTCATTTCAAGGATTTCTGCCTAACTTTTTTCAGAATCTCTCTTTATTGAAGTGACCTTTCACTTCCTATATTTTCTGTACTTTTACTCCTTACATTTTCCTTTACATATCAGTTTTACTATGTACATCCCAAGTGCCTTCTGACATGTCTTCCATAAAGTTTGCATTAATGGTTGCATTTGAAAAAAAAGTCTCAAAGCAGAAATCTATGATTAAATCTAAAGACATTAGGAACAGAAGAACAAAATACATGTGAAATGAGCAGAAATTATAATATAAAAGAAGAAATCAAYGAAATTGAAAATTGAAAAATTATAGAGACAAATCAAAATATGGTTCTCTAAAAAGATCAATAAAACACCAAACTACATGGTAAAAATACAAGAAATAAATTATCAATAACAGGAAGAAAGAGAGATCTCACTACGTACAAACACATATTAAAAGGATAATAAGAGAACTGTACAAAGAGTTCTACACACATAAATTGGTCCTTT